CCCGGCCTTGTTCATATCTTTTATGATCGCAGGCTTGGCATGTGGTCTCTCTGGTATCTGCTACGCTGATTTCTCAAGTCGGTTACCGGCTAGTGGTGGCGCTTATTCCTACGTGTACTCCTCCTTAGGGGAGTACTTGGGTTTTCTTTCTGGTATGTGTCTTACGTTAGAATACGGTGTTTCTAGTGCGGCGATTGCTAGAGGCTTCGCTGGCTATCTCAGAGAGCTCATAGAAGCATGTGGTGTCTCGGTACCATCATTTCTGCAAGAATACGCTGTCAACGGCTCCAAAGTGCTCGTACTAGACTTGCTACCACCACTACTATGCATAGCTGTCGCTGCACTGTGCATGTTGGGCGTTCGGGAATCTGCATGGGTATCATCACTCATGACTGTTGGCAATGTTTCAATGATCTTGTTCATAATCATCGCTGGTCTTCCATACTTCGATTCGGATCACTTCTCAGACTTCGCTCCCCGAGGAGCCGCTGGTATCCTCGGTGGAGCCTCGTCAGTCTTCTTCTCGTATGTCGGTTGGGACGCTGTATGCGTGTTATCAGAAGAAGTCGAGAAACCAACCGTGGTGATACCTCGGGCAATTGGTGTCACCATTTCTCTAACTGCGACCTTATATGCTTTAGTCTCCATTTCCCTTATAGGTCTAGTCGGTGTTGAACAAATAAACCCTCTTACTCCTATTTACTCGGCATTCCAGTACGTAGGTCTAGACTGGGCCGCAATAGTAGTTGCAGTAGCAGCAGTAACGTGCTCTATTACAGCCACGTATGGTACTAGTGCTGGACAGCCTCGTGTATTTTACCGAATGGGAAAGGACGGTTTGCTCTCGCCGAAATTCACCAAAGTGAACAGCAAAGGTTCGCCTTTTTACGGTATCTTTTGGACCTTGATCCTTACAGTCATCATTTCTGCACTATTAGATTTCGATATTCTCAATCAGGCGATCTCAGCGGGCATCCTACTCATGCAGGGCTTGGTGTGTATTGGCTGCGTTCTAAGGCGTATACGTAGAGGAATGCCGACGCCTTCTACTACGTCGGTTTATGATAAGGTTGATAAACAGGCCCGAATATTCTTAGGAGCTCTCGTCATTGATCTCATTATTGCTGGTCTGTGTCTGCAGGGTGGTAGTGGCAGTGAAATCGCGGTTTACGTATTCTTATGCATCTACGCTACCGGACTGGTGGCATTTTTCTATCGTGGATGGAGGCTCATGGGCACCAACGTGTTCAGTTTGATAGTGCCAATAGCTGCGGTAACGGTGAACATCTTCATCATGGCCAGTCTAGGCTGGTTGGCATTCTGCATCGTTCTCGCCTACTTCGTCGCCGGTTCAGTGATTTACTTCGGTTACGGTATTCGCCACAGCACTATGAACGGTCTCCGTCTGAGCGAGGTCGATGGTTTGGATGTTGAGATGGATGATATCATCAAGATGGCAAGCAGGAGCATCGACGGCGATTCTGGTGTTGGCGGTGATGACAAGGGCCTCAATGATACGTTAAATTAGATTTCTGTAACGAAGACAGTGCAGGCAACCGCCACCGCTGGTATCAGTGGAAAGCTGTATTTAGAGTTAAACTCAATTGTTGGTATAACTATATTCATTAACTTAAGATTCTGTTCCTGATCGGGGAGACTTGATGGTGTTGAGTTGAATTCTTACGTTGTAACCAAAACCATAATAATAGGCCTGTAATATAGGCCCAATTCGCTCGTGATATCCGCGTAGTACAGAAATACACTTTAAGAAGCTTTGAGTTATCCCGGTTGACCGTAACATGCCTAAGATAGATT